GGGTCGATGCAGAGTTCAAGGCCTCGGGTATAAATGGTCGAGGGCCGATGCTGCAGGGTCGGGGCTCTAGGTATAAATGGTCAGGGGCCGACTCTATTTGAAGGAGATGGCTGTGGAAGGGTATGATAACTGAGATAAGCTTAGAGGTACTGGTAATATTAGGGAGACTAGAGCTTGGATGTTAACATGTTTCCTGGTTGTGGTTCCCACTAATATGTTACGAAATACTTATATGTTTAAATGCATAATGTATTGAAAAGCATGATTACGAATGTTTCTTGATATAGTTGAGCATAACGTGTGTGTGTTGGTGAGGGCTACTTACGGAGTATATTTTATATACTCACCCCCCCTCTATAATGATTATTTCAAGTGAAGGACTCGTGGRTGACCATGGTGATAGGACGAAGGAGACATGACGAGTGAGGACCATAGGCTGTTTAGTTACTCCTATTTAGGATTGAGAAATAAACTTGCCTCGTGAAGTGGTTCACGAATGTTGTTGAATGTTATTCTATGAGATTGATTTATCGCTAAATTGATGAGGATTGGAACTTGATTTTATATGTTTGTTGCATAGGAAGTTGGCAGGATGTAGTCGGAGTTAAATTTTATTAGTTGGGTAGTTAATGTGACCTAGAGGTGTGCGGGAAATTCTGGGTCGTTACAAAAATCAAATCATTTTGTAAAAGAATTAAAATTTAATTTATTTCTAAAATTGATTAAATCATTCAATTTCAAATAGGGGAGAGATAAGTTTGTTTTTAAATATAGCAAATCTCAAATTAAATAGTTTTAAGTGAAGTTTAAAAGTAGAATAAAGGTAAAGTTGAAAAATACCTGAAATTTTGATCGACTGTTTTTGCAAATTATGATACTACTGGCCATTTATTAAAACGAGTGTTCGAAGCAACTCACCTTAATTATCTTTATTCTTTAATTCTCTTTGTTGTGAAAGCCTAGCCCAACCAATCCTCATACATGTCATTCAACTCTCCTAAACTTTTAACAATACTCTTAAACTATGCTTCTTCAATRCACATAATTACAGACCAAATTCGACGGGCTACAATATGGATTGAAACATCACAAACTACAAATAACTCTAAATCTCCTAAAAATTTTAAACACTACACACAAACAAACAATAAACCAAGTTTACAGTAATTATAAATATTAAGAAATCTAACTCTTCTAAATGAAAAAAATTCGTTCAATTGAAGTTTACTAGTATTTTGGCGTCTTCCGCATTCACTCATTGTTCATCCTTTTTTTTTTTTCATGTTCTTTTGCCCACAACTTAATCCTTGTGATTGAAGATGGWTCCRAGTAGCTTTTGCCTGCTCCCTCGTTCTATGTACTCATAACTTGAAAGTACTTTCTTATGACACTAAACGAATCAAAACAAACATTTATTAGTTTCTATTATGGTTTAAATCTTCCAAACTGAAAATGTATTTGGTTAGTATTAATAGAAAATGAAGCATTTGATTTTGATTACTTACTACTGAAGCTGCTGCTGCAATTCCGCGGAGCTTGTTAAAGCCTTCTGCTGCACTGTAAACGAACCACCCGAAGCAATGGAACCTCCAATGTTGTTACCAGCTTTTCCAGCACCCCCAACTTCAGAATACAATACTGCAGTTGCTTTGGTTATCTAATACAAGCATATGTTAAAATGCAATACATAGGCCTCTTCTATCTAAAATAAACATAAGCAAAATCTGCTGAAGAACCTTGACAACATTCCAATACATAGGCCTCTTTAAAATGCAATACATAGACAACATCCTAAACAACTTGCTCAAGAACCTCCATCAAAAGCAAAATCTACAATCAGAAGTGGTGTAATGAAAATATGCAAATAAATACCAAAAAGTTCAAATACATAATTTCTAYGACAAATTAATCTACCTTACTGGAATGAATACAATAATAGAGTTACATTAGTACAACCTTAAATATTTGCTATTTTTTCTCTAAAGATTTCAAGTTCATAGCAATAAAAGCCATATCAAATAAACTAGAGCAATTTTTTTTCATGAACTTGAAAAAAGTGAGATCTAACCTTTAAACACCTCTATGGCTGAATGAGAGGAGAATAAATTTTAAAACAAATCTTATACAAAAAAGATAGGGGAAAAAAAACTTAAAAAGGAGAAATAGAATTCTACAAAATCCTACGAAAATGAAACCTCTTTGTATTTTGCATCAGTCATAGACAAAATTGTACAAAATCCTATGAAAATTAAACAACAGTCACTACTTACACCAGTTTAAATGAAGGACTTGTCTTACATCTTGGCCATTCCATGTAATGAAATGTTAGTTGAAGTGCATATTGGAACATTCATAGCAGTTTAACACAAAAAGCAAAACTACAATTAAAATAAATCACTCAAGCTCACATGTGCAGGGAGTGAGAAGGGTGGTTATAACATTCTAGCGAGAAACATAGGCACTGATCCATTGAAATTGTTAACAGACAAGTCAYCAAGTCCCAAGTAATTACATAAATAGAGCTCCAAAAGTAAATTAAATCAACATAATATTCACATATTAAACTAGATCAACCACTAAACGGCCATGGCAAAACTATATATTTAATACTTTTGGCTATGGCAAAAAGTTAAACATACTCCTAATCTATGGCCAAAATTAAGAAGCCAAAGTTTGCCAGACTAATAAATACAAATGTGAGGCAGTGCCATATAAGAATAGGTTAAAGATTCAATCTTCCATAAAATCTGAAGCAAGCATAACTATATATTTTCTAAGGTTAACTTCTTGATGAGCTCTAATAATATTGCTTTATAAACAAATATATGCAAGTGGCTAGAAATGGCTATGGACTAGTAATTAAACGAATATAATATAAGAAGGATTTGAAGTTATAGGAATAACCTAAAAAAGTGTTGTTTTTATTGCATGGAATTTAGAAAAACTATTTTCCTTCTGTAAATATAACTTATGATTTTTTTAATCCTTGTTTACAGCTGTCTTACCTCATAGAGTTCTTCTTTTTGTCCAATATAAAGAAACAACATAGTACTTCAATTCAAACATCAATGAATCAGTTAAAAAGCCACAACCTTCTTAAAAGAAAATTTTTACTTCACTTTTTTATACATTATAGTTTGTCACTAAGCCCAAGTTAGAACTAAATGCAACCTACTGAAAATAAAGTTAATTTCACTTCAATTCTTTTGTATATTATAGTTTGTCATAAAGCTTAAAGTTAGAAATAAGTTATAACTAAATGCAACCTCTAATAATCTCAATTCTGGTTTTAAATGGAGATTTCCCACTAAACTTTGTAGGCATTTTTATCATCCCATAAATTCCCTTTTTCAAATTTTGGACATATTATTTTCCCACAAAGTAGCCTGCAACTGCATGCTTAAAGCAAGCCACATATAGAAGCTTTATTTTCTATATTTTCTACTTTCTTTTTCCAAAATCACTTTGTAGAGTGACAGTCACGTGATCCCCTTGCAMTTAAAGARACACCTCTGTTCTGTTTTTACCTTCCCTCTTTGTCCACTATTTTTTGGTTAATTCCATCCATTTCGTTCGGTTCACATTAAGTCATTAACAAGTTCTTACTTAGAAAATTGACCAAGAATATTTTAAATAATCAGTATCTCATATGATTTGTATTACATTTCTAGTTTATCCCCACCCCTACATGTTGTTGAATTCAAAAAAGAAAAGCATGGTCGGTGGCAGCAATATCAACGAAATATGCAGATCAGAACTTACCCATATAGACTTTGCATAATAAATAACTCAATTGGGACAATGTATTGAGAAAGTTGCTTTCAAAGCTTGAACATCCTTCTTTTGAGCTAAAAATTTTTTGCAATATTCAAGGAGGAAACCAATATTCAAATGGGTTGGGTTTTGAGACCTAAATTCTTGGTATCCCTTTCACATTACCAATCTTATTTTCATTTTCTGTCTGGAGCCATTTTTCTTTTCTTTTGAACAAGAAACAAACTTTTCCTTAATAATATGAAGAGGAAAAATTTCAAAATACAAACTCCTAATGGAAGAAAAAAGAGGAAAAACAAAAAACAAGGAACAAAGCTAAAGAAATACAAGATAATAGAACAATAGACCAAGACCACAAACATCAAAATGCAAAACCGACGCTAAAGAATCTAAAGCCATAGCAAAAATCTGAAAGGGCGGAGACTTTCAAAACTTTCTTCAACAGAGCTTGTCACTCCAAAAATGAGTGACTACTTCCCTCCATAGCAGCAATAACCCGACTCAAGGAGGACGAATGGCCAAGATCGCAGGACTCGTGAACTCCTTCCTTTGAGACCTACCTAAACAACCAAATCACCCAACTCCACTAAAACTTGAACCAAAACTTTTGTAGTGAGAGCATCATTGAAGAGTGAAACCAAGGCAAACAATCCTTACAATTGCAACTCCAAAACCCTTGAATCACTCAAACTTCCATCAAAAAGTAGTCATTAAAAGTCCAACTTCTTTAAAACTTTAACTTAAAGACCTATGAATCTTCAAGAAAGATGAAGAGACACGACCATCCAACCCCAGGAATTAGAAAAAGAGTAGAACTCTTGATTTAAGCGTATAGAATCTTCAAAAACCTTACAAATCATTACATTGGTAGCACCTAATGAACATTTCATCAAAGACATTTGCTGCAAGTTAGTTGCTTGAAGAAAGATTTCGTCTGAACAAAATTTAAAAAGAGTTTCTTGATCTTAAGAACGATTTTAGAAAATCTCGAAGAAAAAACTAACAAGGAGGATTATAAATAGGGACAAGAGTTAACCCTACAGCCRCAAAATATGGAGGAATTGACATTGCCTCTTCCATACTTGGGATTTTAACATCTGAAGGCACACCGACAACCTTACCTTGTTCCAGATCAGAATGGAGGTCAATGGACTCATTGTTCAATCCAARGAAATTAATAAAATCTTCTGCAAAAGAGTTATCTGAGAGGTCTTCTGAGCAAGTCAAATGATCTTCCAAAAAWGGTGTAGAGTGCTGATATTAAAATTATTATCATTGTCTGAATAGAAAAGAATCCACCTAGCCTTTCTTTATTCCAGCATTGGTTGTCCTAATGGATTCAAGAGAGAGAGAGAGGCGGGTGGACCTGAAAGGATGTTTTTTCCTTATTTGAATCGATAACATACAAAAATTAGGATGGTGTATCTGATTRCCCTTCCGAATCCCTTCTCTTTCCTCATTAAAATTGTTTTCTAAATTGGTTTGATTTAGACAAGCTATCATTAGAAAATCAAGACCAAATATTTCTCTTTCCACGTTAAATGACAACTTTTCGTAATTCAAAACCGAAAAAKATTGAGGATTGAGGCTTTTGCCATTCGGATTTAATTCTCTTTCATCGTTAGTGCAATTTCCTAATTCAGTTGGAGTGATTCAATTGTCCTTAAAGCTTCCACTTCATCAGAAAATTTCGAGAAAGGCTTCCTTCTTGAATAATTAAAGGGTAGGGGGAGGAATAAAATTTCTCCTTCACAATTTATCCAGTTCAATTCTAGGGCTGCTCACACCTGTCGCAATAAAATTCAAGACTGTTGTTTCCTCTTTCGAAAATCTTCCGCAAAATATCCGGATCAAAATTAGGGATAGTCTCACCTATTGCAATAAATATCGAGGCTATCGTTTCCTTTTTTCAGAAACTTCTCCAATGAATGGTAAGTCTTTTTCGAATTAATGACTCCTTTTTCCCTACCCACTTTCTTCTTAAAAGCAGCCTCACCTCTAACCAATRACTCTTCATCTACCAAAACTTAGTGAAACCTTTGCAGATCCATCTCSTTTGAAGACTCTTGAATCGAAAGCTTCATATAATTCAAGTTTTGTTGATTGACAGATTTAAACAAGGCTTCCACACGAACAACAAAACTCCAAATTTCGTATGTRTGTCTATTGAGGCTCGAAGGAAACCACAGGTGTTCAAGTCCACTTTAATTTGAGGCTCTGAGCAATCTAGCAAATTTAGAGTTTATGATGAATCTTCTTTAATCCACCAAGCTGGACACCAATGGCTTGAAAACAATGCTTGTTTCAATATTCTAGAGGTAAATCACATATTTTAACCCAAACTCCATAAAAAACCATTACTTCATTTCTACTATAATCTTCAAAACTCCATTTTTCTAGCTTCACGTGAAGGTCACCTAATTTTCTCCATTTGCCATTGAGCTAGTTAGAATTTAGCATTTTACCATCCTCAAACCTTATCAAACTCTTATCAGCAAAAAAGGGATTAACTTGACAATCTTGAGAGAATTTTTCTTTTAAATCATCTGCTATTTTCGTCCAATTATCATGTGCACAAGTCTTGTGATTACCATGACATTTTCCCAATCYATCTCTAACACTTCAGTCTCCTTTCTGACCCAATAGTGCTTCAAATTCTTGAAATGCTTCGAGTCCCCCTTTGTAGCAAAGACTTTCACACCTTTCCCATTGAACATAGCCTCGTCTTCTTCTCTAATATTCCTTCTGTTTTTCCCTGTTTTTCCCTTCAAGAATCTCCGCAAAAGATAGCCCTATCTTCCAAAATTCTTTTACCCTCAAAGCTTCCAATGACCTTGAAGTTTCTTTCCCTTAACAACTTCTTTTGCTCGCTCAAATCCATAAACATCCTCTTTTTCCAGATCTAGCAGCAATGACAACCCCCTTTTCCTTCCTACAGTTGGCAACCAAACCACCAGTTCGACATGCCGTCTTGCATCATACTTTGATTTTGTAATCTTACACATACAAAATTCATCTCTTTTCTAATTAGAAAATAAATACTGCAACAACTGCATCAACTGAATCATCTGATCCTCAAACCAAGCTAACTGTGAAAGTTTCAATGGCAAAACCTCTTTTTGACTAATATCTTTCACATRAAGCCATAGAAAATTGCYTGAAAGACTCATATGAAACCATAAAGGAGAGAAGAGGGAGGAGAGAGGAGAGAGCGTCCATTAAAAAAAGGGGTGGATACTTAACAGTTGTATTTCCACAGGTTTAGAATGTGCCTTTAACTTTAACCCTTGGCTAGAAACCTAATTTTCTGTTCACTGGAACGGACATTTGGACTTTTGGAAGGAGAATTGGAACMCTGCCTATAGCCATTTTGAAATAGTAAAATATTATAATGGGCCTAATAACAATCCATGATAATTAAACAAAACAAGATTTAAAGAAAAAAAAAAAGAAGATAAACTGATAACTCAAGAAATGGAAACTTACAAAGAAAAAGGAAACATCAAAAACTCAAATTTTATAGGATAAGTTTAATAAAAAGTTAAAAACATAAACAGAAATGCAATTACAGAGATGAACAGAGAATGAAATGAGAAGAAATTAGGGAAAAATGTGAACAGAATGGCACAATAAACAATGCTTTTGGAAGTCGATAGTATGTGAAAAGTTTTGTGCGTGACTACATGGGAGGAAATTCAATCATATTGGGGGGTTTCTCTTTAATATTTCACCAACAACTTATTTATAAATATGTAGAGCAAGAGATTAAAGGAGATAAAACAAATGTTGAAGAACTGTCCTGCTCTAGTTCTGTTACGTCAACTCCCCACTAAATAGAGACACCAATGACTGGACAACTCCTCCGACCAGCCACCACTCTTCAACTTGCCACCAAACGAAAATGCCAACGGCTGGATGATTGTGAAGACAATTTTACAGAGCGGTGAAGATAAGTGTCTAAGGTGGTTAAGCAGCCAAATAGGAAGAAAAAGAAGGGAGCGCGAGAGAAATATTTAAGGGAAAAGGAGTGAAGATAAATTTTCCCAAAGAGAAGAGAGAGATTATGGCTTTTACGAAGGTTGGAAAGGAGAGAAGAGAAACTTTTACGAAGGTTGGAAAGATTRGGGCCTTTATAAAGGTTGGAGAGAATAGAAGAGGAAAGGAGAGGGGTAACACTAATTTTTTTCATCCGGGATTCGAAATTTTTCAGCACGCTTTATTTCCACCTTTTTTCCCGGCTTTTTTGTCATAGCCTATTTCTAAAAGGCTATATCAAAGAGCTATAAATGGTGATATTTCTTGTAGTGGTGGTTGAAGGTTTTCCTACAAAATTKAATAAGATGAGGCTCSCTTGGTTTYAAGAGGCAGCAGGTTCTTCTGTTGAACTAGGTGCCGTTACTCAAAATAGTGTTGCTTAAGATGATAAGGTAACACCTAGGCCTGCTATATGCATTACATATGTAACGGTAACACATAGGCTTAGTAAGAAAGTTTATTTCTGTTGGATGTCAGCCACGGTTAGTGGGGTTTGTATTTGATGCAATTAGAGCAAATGGGGAGGGTGTGCAGAATAGAAGCTAATTTTGATAGTACCAAGTCCCAACTTCTCAAATTGTCTAAAAGTGTKTGAAATTCAAAGTGATTAGAAATGAAAGTAGCAACTAACACTGATCTTTTTGTATGATAACTATCTAACAATATCTAACAATCTTCATTAATCRACATCTTTCTTGAGTTAATAAATTATTCCTTTTTGTGATCCCCTTGGCTGTTTGAGGATATCCCATCTCCTACGTCCTCTCTTTTTCTAATGAATTCATAATTAACATAAATAAGCATATATCCCAACCCTGGGACACCATCCTTTCTAGAAAAAGAAAATTCTGGAYGTAGTACAAAAATTTTCTATTCTATATATATGAATAGTAAAAATAGTCTTTACCAACAAATGCAATTGGTAATTAGTAGCAACTTACTATGCTCAAAAGAAACCAAAACCTCTGTTGCAGACTACCATTAGCTGACAAATAAATGGAAGAAAATCCCCAACAGTAACAAGATTGAGATGAATGTTCCTCCCATTAGAAAAGATTGGAGAACTTTTTCCTTGTTCCTCGGGCTCATTGAGGTGAGCTGGAAAATAATTATCTCCAGAATAGATTCACCATCCAAATAATATACCTATAAATATACACACAATMATAAWGAAAGTTCAATAATTACTTCATATTTTCCCATCATGATCATTAGTTTAAATGTGCTTTAATTGTCAACTCGGCTCCAAAAGCAAGTGAACTTATKTAATTCGAGTATAATTTACTCTTACCTAACATATAAAGCAAAAAAACGGTGCTGAAATGTTAAGTATTCTTGGTTAACTTGGATAGAATCCTCATTCACAGCAACAAAATTTTTTCTTTATGTTTTTGTTTTTTTAAGATTGTGAATCCTGATAAAGAATTAAGATTGTGGAGGGAAAAACTCTAAAAAATTTACATCTTTTCAGAATGGTACATGGTTAAGTGGCTTATTGATACATTACAAAAAGTTGACGTTCCTTATAATCAAAAGATAAAAGGGTAAGCAAGAAATAATAATGGAAGGTTTGATCTAGGTAAGAGAATCTCTAATCATAGAGGTGGATTGTGAAAGACCCCCAATCACTAACGTCTAAACTAAGAAGGGTAAAAGGGAAATATTTTTAGTGCTTATTCAACGAAGAGTACAAAGAGAAATACTCCTTGACAAGTTAGTTATACCTTGTATTTAGGGGAGGATAAGTGAGTGGGGTAGGCAGATATCCTTTTGAATTGTGTTYGCATAGGGGAGAGCAAGCCAGGACTCTCAAATAGGTTGAGCAGTTTGTACTATCCTTTTACCACCTTTTGGTCTTTCAACGAGAAAAAGAAGAAATATACCTAACATATTGGTATCAAAGCACCTTCAAGCCGGATGAAAACTGGAAAAATAGCCAGAAGAAGCTGGAAGAACGATTGGACCTTATCGGTAAAGAACTTGTGGGAATCAAAGTGCAGCTCTAGTAGAAGATCTTACTCTTAAGTTATCGATGGAGCATATGGCTCAGAACTTCAAGTGGTTGTCATCTAGGTTGGAGGAGACAAAACAGTCCAACAAGGAAACATGGAGAGCAACAGCAACTCYTGTGTTATAGTTGTCAAGTGGGAAGTGGAGAACAACCTCTAGAAAGATGATGACCATTAAGGAAGAAGGAGCTCGCCTGAGCTGAGGGGGAATCTTTCCTACAAAAGTGGGTAGGAAACTATCTGACCAAAGCAAGTTTAWGAAAGTGGAAATGCTTGTGTAAACTCGAGAGGACCCAAATGCATGGCTATTTTGAGCAGAATGATACATCAATACCCATATCAAAGAGCTGATTTGCGGGTTTCAAAAGCTCTTCTACTCTCTCTTTGGAGTTCGGGCAGTCCAAAACGAGTTAATATGTTAATTTGGATTCTATTATATGGCAAAGTCAATACAGCAGATATTTTGCAGAGAAAATCTCCTAAGATGGCTTTACAGCCATCCATTTGCTTTTTATGTGCAGAAAATGAAGAAAGCTTAATCATGTCTTCTTTTTCTGCCCTGCTGTTTGTTGGAATCTATTTCTCCAGATGTTCCAATTAGTATGGGTGTGGGATCGTGAGGCTGCTAATAATATTTTTCAGATTCTACATGGTGCCTAGCACCTAAAGCTAATTTACTTTGGTTTAATGGATTTTAAGGCTATCATCTCATAATTATGGTTTGAGAGGAATCAAAGGATTTTTGAAGATTCTTGTCGCCCGCCATTGGATTGCTTCAACATGGCCAAATTCAAAGCTTCTCAATGGTGTGCTCTTTCCGATATGTTCTCTTCGTATTCCCCTAGTATGATTTGTATGAATTGGGAGGCCTTTATTTCTCCTTTGTAGTCTTGTCTTATGTTTTATTTTCTATTTCATGCTTTCTCTATCACTCCTTCGGGAGTTTGTATCTTTGAACAATTTTGTTCCTTTTCATATATCAATGAAAAGTTCGTATCTTGTTAAAAAAAAAATATCCATAAGCTAACGAATTCAGAGAAGTTGATGGTGTGGTAAGTTTCAATGAGGAAGCTTTAACGTGATACTGTTGGGCAAAGACTTGAAAAAAAAGGTCTTAAGTTCGAACCTTCCGGTGAGTTTAATACCAAAAACCCTTGATGTCTCCTAGGTTTGGATCTTGGAGCAAGCGCGGGTGCCCCCCTAGGGAACAAAGTTCCAACTTCTAGTTATCAAAAGAAAGATATCTATTGGGTTTTTCCTAAGGCTATTGGTGAATCAGTTATACTATATTACTGTTGATTGGTTCTCCTTTCAAAGGATAAGATGGTGAAGTCTCATCATTATTTGGTGGTTGTTGTATTGTCGAGATTATGGCATGCTCCCTTGCTAATCCTTTTTGTAATATGACTGTTTATATAATCATTCCAAGAATCCTTTTTGCAACCTTTTGTTTTCACGGAATATCTCATCCCTCCTTTTAGTAGTTTCGCCTAATATTAATAATGTTATTCTCCATTTCCTATTAACATCATCGTCATCAAAAAGCTCTCAAATAACAGATCTCCTTGTTTCAGCCCTTGGTTTTCTTTCATCTTGGGACCGAAAGTAAAATTTTGGGAGGTTGTTTGGATGGATTACCAGAAACTTTGTATCTGATCTTCAAATATAGAGTAATTTCAAAAAACCCCACAATTTCTAACTCCTTGGTGAGGAGGCCTTTAAAATGGGCAAATCTACCTGGGAGATATCTCAAAAACAAAGAACTCAACAAGTTCTTTAAGTTTCTAAGGCCATATAGAAGGACAAACCATCTAAAGAACATAAGGTTTTTCACGTGGTCACTTGAAATGGGAGGCTTGATTATGCCCAACATTGTTTACAAAAGAGGTTCCCTTTTATGGTTTTGAGCCAAATTAACGCCATTTGTGTTTGAATAGTCATGAATCTTAAATACCACAGAAACTCTCCAAGAGAAGCTGCCCAACATGCCCCTCCATCCTTCTATATGTATTTTGTGTGCTGCCAATTGCGAAGATCAGGTACATTTGTTATTTTTCTGTCCTTATGCTTCAGTTTGTTGGGACCTCTTCTTTTACATCTTCAATTTTGCTTGGGTAACGGACAAGTCAATATCATCTTCAACTTTTCAGCAACTGTTTGGTCCATCTTTACCGTCTAAAGCAAGCCTCCTTTGGATAAATGGTCTTAAAGCGCTTATTTCCAAGTTATGGTTCGAGCATAATCAAAGCACTTTTGAAGGGAAAAGCCAATTGGCTTTCGAATGTTTCTACGTAGCTAAGTTCAAGGTTTCACAATGGTATGCTCTCTCCAATCTCTTTGAAAACTACTCTCCTAGCATGATTTGTTCTAATTGGAAGGCTTTTTGGTTTAATGTTTAGATCTCCTTTAGTTCTCTATGTCCCTGCTAAGTTTGCCTTGGTTGTACCATTATATTATATTTGATTTTCTTTTTTCCCCTTCATTTCACCCCTTTCGGGGTTTGTATTTTTTAACAATTTTTGTTCATTTTCATTTATCAATGAAAAGTCCGTTTCTTGTTTAAAAAAAAAATAGTCATGAATCTTAATCTCTTCTCTTCTCTCCTCCCTAATTTAGTCTCAAGTTGGGGTCTAATCTATAGAAAAGAAAGGGAACAAAACTTGAAAATCATTGCTTAAGAATGAATCAGAAATAGGAAATTATAAAGTTTCCATTATAACATCTTTTCCTCTTCTACGGTTCTTCAATATTGTAAAACTTGATTTAATTCAAGAATCATAAAACCTTGTTTAATGATATCCCCATGAAGTAAATATGAAAATAATTTCCAAATGGTGTGTATAAAAACTTACTGGCAAACTGTTGAGAAGAGCTAGTGCAAGAGATGCATGAAATAAGCACAATAAAAACCTTTCCAGTACATCCGGAAGATAGGTGGCAAAAGGGACATTCAATCTTGGTTGGTACATGGTCAATTGAATTGAGCGCGCCATTGAAATCACATCACCAACAAAAATGAAAGTTCCACTACAATTAGAACTTGGGAGTAGATATTCTCCAGAATAGAAACAGTCAGAGGAATTCAAATATGTAATCTCAACCCATATCGAACCTGGCTCTTGAACTGGACTTAGGCAAGTTTCGCCCTGTAAATTAAATTTAAAAATGTGATGAGCTCAAAGACAGTGCATATGTCCAATTATCCAAGTTTGAACGAAAAGCAAGAGAACATGGAAAAGTACACGTTGCTCACCAAAGATCAAGCACTTACCTGAGAACATACACAGGTGCTATCATTAATTATGGCTTTATCCCATCCATTAGTGCATTTATTAAGCTTAATAACATCATTGACATTCAAGCAATACGTCTCCTCTTTGCTGTTGGAACGGCTATCTTCCACATCACCATCAATTAAAACAGTAGAACTAACACAAGAAATAGTTGTAAAAGAGACAAGGTCCCCGAAACAAGTTGATTGATCATGTGTGAACTGATCTTTATTGTTTTCCTTCAACATAAAATTTGGAACACAGTATCCCTTTCTGCCATTGCCAATTCGATTCTTTTCACCATGCGTGGAAAGGGTTCCATTTTTAAATCTTAATTCACTTATTTGAGCTGATAGATTGATCCAATCATCCACACCATGAACATGCATGCCATCTAATGACAAGATGACATGACCACGGGACAAATAACCAGATAATGGTGAAGTAAGAGGAACATCCGAAACCTATTACAGTTTACAGGCATTAGTCAAGAGGGGAAAATATATAAAAAATAAGATCTTTCATGTGAAGTTATGTAATAATTTCATGCATGTAAATATAATATGTTGGTGTACCGTGGGACTTTCGCCATGTATGTAAAGAGGAAACAAAAGCAGCGGCAGGAAGAATAATATCAAGCCAGAAGCTGCAGAAAGCTAGAGAGATGTACATTCAGTTATGCTGATAAAATTTTTAGAGCTTTAGTCGCCAAAGCTTAAGAGATAGAAAACTAATGAAGCAATTATAGTCACCACATATGCAGAGCTAGATTGGGAGATTAAACAAAAATCAACAACACGGCAATAACAATTTTAAGGCTTACAACTGCATTGTGCCAAATACCAGCACAGTAGATACGAAGAGCACTGAAGCATGATAGATCCTGCAGTGCATCGTGATTAAAAGCCACCAAAGCGCCAGGAAAAAGGAGTGCAATAAAAACAGCAACATACTCCAATTTCATCCCCTCACTGCCATTCACATAAACTTTCCCAAGTAAGAGGAATGATAATCTAGTCACCACTACGTTCTAAGATCTAAAATAATGATCATCTATTTTTCCAGGTAATGCTACTGACATAAATTAGTTTATATAACTATTGCAATAAATGTGCATTGAAGAAAAGAATTGGAATTGATAAGGTAGAATAAATAAACCTTGCAGCAGCAGCCGCATGACCAAATTCATGAAAAGCTACAGATATTAAGGTAGAGATAATTACGTATCCAGCATCAACTGGGGCGAAACTATTGCTCGGTAGCTGTGTAGAAGATAAAATTTAATAAGAAGCAGTCATGGCACGAAGAAAATGAAGAATGAACCCTAATAAAATAATAATGGAATAAAAATTAAGGGTATTGTATATGAACCAATGGAGGAAGACCAAATAATGAGGAACATGAAATAGGAAGATGATGGGGCACATTGCTATTGCCAAAAATATGCATCAATATAGCAAGTTCCAGAAAGAGGACCTGGAAAATGAAGGATTGAGATTGTTACTAACATGAAGCAATACAATAAAAGAAAATTACTTGGGTTGTTGGCTAAAAAGCAGCAACAGTATATATAGCGCGTGCTACAACTCTACAATGACAGAAATTTTTCTCTTGGCCTGCTAGCAAAGTCGAGCATTAATTTTTTCATGTAGGAAGTCTAGTCAAATCCTAACGTCCATAAAAATAGAGTTCAAATTACAAATTCTTGTAACGACTTGGAGCTTGTGTAAGTAGAAAATGCTCTTAATGAACTAGAACTAGAACGATAATGACAGCTAAATCTCCACCCTCCCTGGTTTCTTCCTCCCTCTTTACCCTTTGTTTACCCATTAGCCTCGTTCTCCGATGAGTTGGGAATACTCCTCTCCCTCTTTCTCACCTAATTCTAAATCCTTTGATACTCCTCCCTCTTTACCCTTTGTTTACCCATTAATCTTGGGGGATCTGAGAGGTATTAGAAGGAGGTTCGAGACATTATTAATTTTAATATTTCCATGTGGCCGTCGTTTTATAGGGTCTATTGTAGTTTATTCTTCCGGTGTTACACTTTTGGATTGGAGCCCTTTTCTTTAGGGCTTGGGTTCTTTATATGCCCGGTTTTGTTTGCCCTTGTGTATTATTTCATTTCTTCCATGAAAGTTTGGTTTCTTATAAAAAAAAAAATCAACCAATACTCCCGCCATGTCTACTATAGAATTCATAAATTGGGATTTGAATATTGTTATAGAAAAAAGGTTCTTCGATGATGATTGGTACAATATTTTGAGAACCCCCCAATGAAATATTAGTGCATTATGCTCTGTTAAACCCCTTTTTGACGCAATAAAGCAATGTGAGGACCTAAAACAAGTGAGACTCCTATGTGTACATAGACGTGGAGTATGGTAGGACCCATTTTCGTTTTGGTGGCCTTTTAGATTGTGCCAAGAAATCAACAAGGAAGCTTGATTTGATGAGAGTAGAGATCAAAATCATAGAAAACTTCTTTGGTTTTATCCCACAAGTAGTAGTTAGTCCCTCCTCCATGACTTTCTCAAACTCTCTCACAATACAAGACCCTTTTTAATACGTAACTTTCTTTGGTTGAAGTTAGTCCCCTCCCCCCAACATTGAATATGTAACTTCTACTAAAGCTAAGCAAATTACTTTGATATGTCCCTCACCTTCTACCGCTAAACTTGTTACATCTTGGCTTGGAGCTATGGGCTTATGCTGTTCCTTTTCCAGAAGAAGAAGAGGAAAAACAAAAACAAAAAAAACACAAAAAAAAAAACCAAGAAGAAGAGCAAAAGTAACCAGAATAACAACAACAAAAAGGCATCATGGAGCTAAAGAACTACTCATCCTCCATAAGTTATGACATGATAGAGCAAATGAGCTCATCAGGGAGCAAGTCAGCCGTCCAATGAAGTTCCCATCATGCAATATCAAGGTTATTGGCTCTAGGAAGGAGAGAGCTATCATCAAAAACTCCATCCTCAAGGCAAATCCAAACGTGGTTCTTTGGCAAAAATGAAGCCAAGTAAAATGGATAATGGAGCAATCATGATATTGGTTGGACAACAATGTACGCAATAGGATCAACTAGACACAGCCGTATTCTTTGGAATGACCCTTCCTTCTCAATTAAGAAAATCATCCAAGGTAACCATGGTGTGAAGCACCAGCTCATCCGAAATGCGTCGCTGTTTTCAAAACCAACCTATTTCTCCTTTCATTTATTGAAAACAAATCCAGAAACAATATATCATGGTAAAAGAGGATCATACAAGAGCTTTCTTCTTGGAATGACCTCTCCTCTCTCCCAACCCCACGGCCACTCCGCCACCCAACCCCTCCCCTGCTACACCGCCGTCGCCATCCAGGGAACCTCCATCCTTTAGACCTGCCTCCCTTTCCAACCCCAACCTTTTCTCTATTGCTGGCTACACTCATCATGACCTACTAGACCTATCCTTCCAGCAAAGTAGTTGTAGAAAGGAAAACCTTCTCCATCAAAGTTGATGAACATTACAGGGGTAGTCGTGCAAGGATCATTGAATCTGGTAGGGATTCTTCCTTCTCATTCTCCCTTACTTGGGCCTCTATATCCTGGCTTACCTCTTCCCTCAATTTACTGCTCGACTCTCCACTCACTCACAAGTTCTTCCAAGAGCACAGGAGTGACGACTACACTCTATGGGTAGAGAAACTCAACAACAAAAGAGGATACTGGGTGGAACTTAACAAACTAGATAACAATGGCAAGAAGAACAGGATTATGCTTCCCTTTGGAATCGACAAAGAAGGCTGGAAAGTTTTTTACAACCTTCTCCTTGACTACCCGACGTCCAACAAGCCACATCCAATACCTCAGACCACCACACAACCCCCGTCCCCACCATCAACACCATGTGATCATTGATTCACCCTCTAAGTTGTCCCTGTTCCTTGAAGTTTTCGCTTGGAGTCGATGGATTATTGTTCAACGCCACTCGTTCCATGATGATTGGCATCCCATCCTCCTGGCCATATAAGAGTCGATCAGCGATTACCGCTCCCTGAGCCCCATACGTGCTGACAAAGCCCTCTTCATATGCAAGGACAACTCACAGGCTATCACCCTCACCCAAAACCCCGATTGGCAAGAAATTGGATCCTTCCAGCACCGTTTTCTCCAATGGAGCACAAAGAAGAATATTAACTCAAATCACCAAGTCCCTTCCTATGGAGGCTGGATTATCATTCGTGATATTCCCCTCCACCTTTGGAACGATTCAGTTGTCCCCTTTATTAAGGATAGATGCGACGGATTCATGGCAACCTCTAGAGTGTCCTCTGGACCTTATGGAACTTGAGATAAAGGTCAAAGGCAACAGCACAGGCTTTATTTCGGCCACAATTGAGGGAGCTCATTCCTTCACACATGAAGACGCCATCACCGTTCAAATCGACCCCTTCTTTATTGCAGAGAAGCTGGTGGGTCACTGCCACAAAGCTCGCGTCACCCAACAAAAACCCACTAAAGAGTCCGTCGAGGGACATTCAAGATTTCTTAGAACCTACAAGCGACTGACAGAAGAGTTATATTGGCCCGGAATGAAGGATGATGTCAAATGGCATGTCAGTGAATGTGAAGTGTGCCAAAGACATAAAACCGAATCGCTAGCCCCCGCAGGTCTGCTCCAGCCCTTGCCACTTCTAGATCGCATATGGGAAGATGTTACTATGGACTTTGTGGAGGGCTTACCTAAATCGATGGGGAATGACACAATCCTCGTGGTGGTAGATCGCTTGAGCAAGTATGCTCACTTTATACCTGTTAATTTGAGAGAGTAAAAAATATACTCCTTGATTCAAACATGTAACTTAGATCTTCTTATATAGGAGAATGACCTACTACAAACAAGGAAAGTAATAAACACCATAAAGACTGAATATCAACAATAAAGACTAAATATTGACAACT